GCGCGACATCGCGCCCGACGGCGCGCGACGGCGCGCGCGCGATGGCGGACGGACGACGGCGGACCGATCCCGCGATCGCGGGGGCGCGGTGCTGGCAGGGGGCGGAGCGGTGCTCGGGGGAGCTGTTCGCGCTGACGTACGGGGCGCTCGTGCGACAAATTTTACGCGATCGCGAGGACGACGTGGACGCGACGAACGCGGCGCTGGAGCGCGTCGGACGGTCGATGGGGACGCGCATCGTGGAGGAGTATTTGTCGAGGACGGGCGCGGGCGCGCGGGCGTGTCGGTCGTTCGAAGACGCGTGCGAGGCGGTGGCGAAGACGGCGCTGAAGATGTTCCTGGGCGTCGACGCGAGGACGAGGGATTGGAGCGAGGATGTAGACGAGTGCGTGATAGAGATGGATACGAATCCGTTGGCGGAGTTCGTGGAGTTGCCGAAGCGGTACGAGGGGTTGTGTTACTGTAACGCGTTGTGCGGAGCGATTCGAGGCGCGCTCGAGGCGGTGCGGGTGCGGACGACGTGCGCGTTCGAGAGCGATCCTCTGGCCGGGAACGGGGATAAGTTTGCGATTCGGATCAAGTTGGTGGAGATTGTGCCGGAGGAGTATCCGTTCGACGATTGATGCGGAGCGCGCGAGTGACTGAATCAGGGTGTAATCGAACGTAAGCGTGTTTATTACGTAAAACAATTCTAAATGATACCCATCTTCGTTCGAACCCACGCCGGAAAGAACATTCGGGCGAAACCTTCCCCCTTAACGATGGGGAAGATGATCTTGCACGCCCCGGTAAGGATGTTCCCGCTCTTAAGCAAGCGCTCGGGCGTCGGGAGCGGCACCATGAGTCTGCCGATGCCGAAGAGGGCGACGCTAAAGAAGTGTATGACGAGATTGAGCGGATTCGGATCGAGTCCACTGAGAAGCGCGATCGGACCTCTAGCGTAGGTGCCACCCAATCGTAGGTACTCGAAGCACGCCTGACGCATCTCATCCATGCTGGAGTCGCCGTCGGAGCAAAACACCGCGTACAGCGCGTTGGCGAGCGTATTGATCGTGAGCGCCGGTCGCGTTCGGTGGCGGTAAAACTCATCCAACTTGGCCGCCGTCGCCTTTGAATCTGAAAAGTTTGGCAGCGGGCTCAGCATGGACTTAAAGGTGGAAATGTCGTTGAGCGCCACAGTCATCCCGCCCCCCGTGAGCGGGTGGCGCATATTGAACGCGTCGCCGAGCAACACCGCGCCGGGTGTTCGGCTGGGTTTCGCAGCCATCGTCTTGTTCGGCATCGATCTGAATCGACCTTCCTCCACCGCCTTGACGAGGTGCGGCCTGAGCTTCTCTGGCACCTGTGGGACGATCTTCTCTAGCACGTACTTGGCCATCTCGCCCTTGGCCACCGACGGCATCTTCACCGAAGCCGGAATGTCCACGAGGCACCGAACTTCGGTGCTGGAGATTGGATAGAATAGCACCGGAGATGGATCTCCGAGGACCACGTGTCCGTGATGCCCGTTCGGAAGCAAATCATTCGGCGCCCCCTTCAAGATGACGCCGACGAAGTGGCTCGGATGGTTGGGCGTGGATTTCGGCGACAGTTTTGTACGCAGACTGCTAAAGTGTCCGTCGCAAACCACGGTGAGCGGAGCGTACACGGCGTGCGTTTGCATCGTCGACGCATCGCGAACGAGCGCATTCTTCTCCTTATCCCACGTCTCTCCGCCGACGGTGTAAGACACGCCGGCGACGCGTTGGCCGTCCTCTCCGCTCCACTCCTCTCCGCGGTCATTCAGGAGCTTCTTCACCGTGCCCTGAATTATCGTCACCCCCTCCACCTCCATCGCCTTCTCTCGAAGCTTTTGCACGAATCTCCCGTTATGAAAGCTCCGTCCCGCGACGTCATCCGTCCGTCCCTCGAGCGGATACGTCATCGTCGCCACCTCACCATTTTTAAACATGGTGTACCCGTACACCTTCTGCGCGTCGATCCCCTCCACGCACGACGCCAACCCGAGTTCCTTCAACTTCACGTACCCCCCCGGCTGCAACAACTCCCCGACGATGCGATCCGGCGTCGACATGTCGCGCTCGATCACCAACACGCGTCGGCCCTCGACCCCCAATCCGTGCGCCAACGACGCCCCCGCGACGCCCGCGCCGACGATCACGACGTCCCACGCCACGTCATCCGTCACCGAGGTCTCACCCGCGCGCGCGTCGACGCGCGCGCGGGCGAACATCCCCATCGTCGACGCGTCCGTCGCCCCGTCGAGCCCACGCCGCGCGCGCGCCTCGTTCGCGCGAACGTCGCGATCGATCCCGCGGCGTCGCGCGACCGTCGACGACGCGCTCGACGCGACGTAGGTGAAAACGGGTGAAAATACCTCGACGGTCGTCCGTCGCGCGCGGGCGTCGTCGAACGTCGCGCGCGTCGTCGCGCGCCCCCGACGCGCGCGACGTCGACGGTCGCGCGCGATGGGATCACGCGCTTGAGTCGTGACCGGTCGAGGAGTCCCTCGGTCGATGCGTGGGCACGCACGCGGGTGTCACGCGTCCCGCGTGCGCGTGATGGGCGTCTCGGTGTGCTGTATACGGCATAGGGGCGCTCGCATGAGTCACGACCCGTCGTCGAAACCAGCGCGCGCTTCGATGGGTGTCTCGGTGTGCTGTATACGGAATAGGGGCTCCCGTCTGGGTCATGACTCGTCGACGAAACCAGCGCGCGCGCGTGCTGGGCGGCGGCGGCGGCGGACGTCGACGCGCGTCGACGATGCCGCGCGCGCTCTTCGACGACGACGACGACGACGACGAAAGGGAGGACGGGGGGGCGCGCGACGACCGGGCGCGCGGTGGACGCGCGGGCGCGACGGAGGCGTCGGATGACGATGGGCGGTCGAGCTCGAGCGCGTCGATGGATGACCTGCGCGTGAACGCGGCGTACGCGGCGAGGTACGAGCACAACGAGCGGCGGAAGGAGATGCATCGATTGCAGGCGAAGCTCGAGCGGGAGTACGCGACGACGGCGTTGGGGGCGGCGGGGGGGGGGGACGGCGGCGCGAACGCGCGGAGCGAAGACGACGCGGAGCGCGAATCGAGCGATTCGAGCGAGACGGAGAGCGATGAGGACGAGGGGTTGGAGCTCGCGTTCGACGGTGCGTTCGCGGAGGCGTTGACGCGGATTCGGAGGAGAGATCCGAGCATTTACGACGAGAAGACGAAATTTTTCGACGACGGCGAGGCGGCGGCGGAGGCGGCGGCGGAGCGGGCGAAGACAAAGGAAAAGAAGCCAAAGGCGGCGACGCTGAGAGAGGTGACGGCGAACCAGTTGTTAGAAGGTGGAGCGACCGCGCTCGAGGACGCTGAAGCGGAGGCGGAGGCTATGCGTGCGAGCGCGGGACCGTCGTACGTCGAGGAACAGGCGGCGCTCAAGAGCGCGTTCAAGGACGCCGCCGAGGGCGCCATCGGCGGCGATAGCGACGAGGATGATGATGGCGGACTCGTGGTGAAACGACGCGCAGAACAAATGAGCGGGGCGACGGAAAAGTTATCCGAGTACTTTGGTGACGAGGACGCTTTGAGCAAGGAGGAAAAATTTTTGCGCGATTACGTCCTCGAAAAGCAGTGGTTGAAGGGCGAAGAGAACGGGATGCCTCGGGGTAACGTCATCGGCGGCGACTCGTCGAGCGACGAGGATGATGGCGGTGACGATGCGAGCGATTCCGAACTCCTCGAGCGCGCTGAGGAGTTTGAGCACAATTATAACTTTCGATTTGAGGAGCCCGGAGGCGATCGTCTCGTGTCGCACTCGCGTCACATCGAGGGCTTGATTCGTCGAGAGGACACCAAGCGTCGCGATAAACGCAAAAAAGTGAAGGAACGCAAAGAGTCAGAGCGCGCCAAACTCCTGGCCGAGGTCCGTAGGCTGAAGAATCTCAAGCGAGAAGAGATTGAAAACAAGATGCGACAGATTCGCTCCATCGGCGGTTTGCCTGAAGAGCAGCTCAAGGACGACTTACTGAACACTGAGTTCGACCCGGAGGCGCACGACAGGGCGATGGCGGAGATGTACGGAGAAGATTATTACGAAGGTGAAGACGGCGAGGCCACTGGTGCGCTCCAAAAGCCCGAGTTTGGTGATTTAGAGGAGGAGTTGGCGGAGCTGCTCGCGGCGGAGGGCGGTGGAGACGACGATGAGGAAGGCGAGGGAGACGGAGAAGAGGAAGGCGAGGAAGAAAAAGAGGAAGAAAAAGAGGAAGAAAATGAAGGCGACGCGGAGCCCGACGTGGACATCGAAGAGAATAAGTACTCCAAGCGCGCGGCTAAGAAGTGGCGCAAGGAGCTCGAGAAGAAGATGGAGGAGTACTACAAGCTCGACGCCGAGGACTTCATCGCGGGCGAACTTCCCACTCGATTCCCTTACAGAGACGTCGCGCCGAAGATGTTTGGTCTCACGACGCGCGATATTCTCACGATGGACGACAAGAGTTTGAACCAAATCGTCGGTCTGAAGAAGCTCGCGCCGTATCGGGACGACGCCGACGAGGCGGCGGTGGGCGCGAACCAACGCGCGCGCGCTCGTCGCATGGCCAAGGAATTCTACGCCAAGCAGACCGAAAAGAAGAAGCGGAAGAAGAGCAGAGACTCTGGAGGAAAGAAGAAGAAGGACGGTCGCGATGACGGCGATTCATCGAGCGACGAGACGGACGAGGATACGATTCGCGCGAGGTCGTACGCCGACGCGGCGTTCGGCAAAAAGAAAAAGTCCTCGAAGGATTCCTCAAAAAAGGATCATCCCGACGACCGCCCATTATCAGTACAGGACTCGGGGGTGGGCAAGAACGCGCGCAAAAACGCGAAGAAACGCGCGAAGAAGAAGGCGAAGCAGGAAGCCGAGAATACCGCGTAGGAACGCGCGGTATTCGCTCGTCACACCATGGCGTTCGCCCCGGTGCGATCGCGACCGAACCTCATCCATCCGCCGTCGACCAGTGCGTCGAGGAGGCACCGTTCGAACCGACGACGCGTCGTCCCGCGCGCGTTCGCGCCGTGGCGTCCGCCCGACGGGTCCAACCCGCTCGAGGGCTTCTTCGCGAGCGACGCCCCGGTGGGCGGTCTAGGTGCGCTCACCGGTCTGTGGTACCTCGATGTCTTCGCCCTCATGAACGTCGTGTTACTCATGGCGCTCATCGCCTGGACGTTCGCGATGCGCGACGAGACGGAGGACGACGATGGGATGGGCACGGGCGATGACGATGGGCGTTGATGATGATGGCTACACGGTAAAATAGTGGCGTGACGTAAAATACTATAGGACACATTCACGACTCGTACATCAAGAAAACGTCACGGCATCGACGGATTTCACACCGTAACCCTGTTCGCGTGAAGGAGTCATGATTGGGGGTGAGTAGGTTTACCGTTCTCAAGGTCATAATGACGCATACTTAACGGGGGTGTGGTCTAGTGGTATGATTCTCCCTTCGGGTGCCTAAACCCAGCGCTGACGTGCGCTCCGTTGAACGTGGGAGAGGCCCCGCGTTCGATTCGCGGCACCCCCCATTGTAGGCTTTTTAAGCCTATCATCGTTTTTTTAATTCCTTGGAAGCTTAGGGTTTAGGTTGAAGGGCTATAACAACATTATTCACGGGCATGCGAAGTCCATTAGCCAAGACGATGCGGTCGGAGCCGCGCACAGTCAAGGTGGTCATCGAAATAGGTGTGCGGATGCGCTTCATCCCAGAGCCCGAGTTCGGGGCGCGGCGGTGGACGTCGACGCGATCGGCGCCGCGCACTGGCGACGGCGACGATGCGTCGCGTGGAAAAGTACCCGTACTTTTTACGACACGTCTGGGTGAGACAGAGATTCCTGAACCATAAGGAACGTGATGGAAAGAGCACGCGGTCCACTTCGTTCTCGTCGGCTTCGACGAGTCGACAGTGGCCATCGTATACATTTTCTCTACATTTTCTCGGTCGTCCTCCGGACGCGCCGCCCAATGCAAGGTCTTCGAGCGGTGTTCGATGCGCGCCTCACCCACGTGCACGATGTACGCACCCGCCTCGATCGATCCCCGCGGTCGTCCAAAAACTACCTTTTCCCATTGAAAAAAATTTGTTGCGGCTCGGACGTTGCTCGATTTTACCGAAATCTGTTCTAAACCCTATCTGTTGTATACAATGGCTCATCGCGAGCTCGGGCGCGTCGTTCGCGCGCGGCGCGGCGACGCCCGACGTCGTCGTCGACGCGCGCGCAGAGACCTCCCGCTGCGTCGTCTCGCGTTCGGGCTTCTTCTTTCGTTCGTCCGTGTTTTCTCCCGATTCCTCGGCGAGAAAGTCCTTCGTCGACGGATCTCGACGCCTTCGTCGGCGAGACGACGCGGCGACACGACGCCCTCGACGCGATCATTCCTCCCTGGACGCGCCACCACCACCGCGTGGGCGTCCCACACCGCCGTGCGCGCCCCGTCGGCGTCGGCACGCGTCCTCGACCGCGCCGCGCGCGCGTCGTCGTCGTCGCCGTCGCGTCTCGTCCCGCGTCTCGACGATCACCCAGAGCTCCCGGTCCCCGACGCGCGACGCGGTGGACCCTGCGCCGCGACCTCGTCGTCGCGCCCTTGTAAACGCGGCGCGCGCGCGTATATCGTCGCCGCGTCGACGACCACGCGCGCGACGTCGGCGCGAAGCCGCGTCTCGTCATCCGCGTCCGCGCCGTCCGCCGCCGCCGTCTCGCGCGCGTCCGGTGACGTCGAGGTCTCGTCCGCGCGGCTCCCGGGGAAGATTTTGATGCGCATCGCGCGCGCGCGCGCGACGCGGGGCGGTGTGCGTCGACGCGACGTCGACGCCGATGCCGTCGAGGGACATTATTTCATACGCATTCACGAGACCGCCGATCGAACATCCGTCGACGCCGACGCCGCACCCGACGCCGCGCGTCGCGCGCGATGACGGGAACGATCGAGCGGGCGCCGAGCGCGGGCGTGCGCGCGGTGGTGTGCGTGCGCGGCGAGCGAACGCGACGGGACGACGACGGGAACGAACGACGCGACTGACGACGACGACGACGCGCGGACGACGACGACGCGCAGGCGAGAGCGATTGGCGATGCGATCGGCGTGGCTCGAACGTGAATCCGGGGTCGAGGACGCGTCGACGGCGCGCGCGGGAGAGGGGACGTCGCGATCGCGCGCGCGCGGGACGGCGCGGCGCGGGACGCCGACGCCGACGCGGCGCGCGGAGCGGACGACGCCGGTGACGACGAAGGTGATGACGGCGACGGAGATCGCGGCGTCGATCGCGCGGTTACACGCTGGGGCGTCGATGATCGCGCACGCGTCGGGACGGGTGAAGGAGAGGGAGACGCCGACGTTCGCGCCGCGGTTGAATGCGAAATCCAGAGCGTTGGCGGAGCGGCGCAGGGAGAAGGTCAAGGGGACGGAGAACGAGCACGGGGGTGGGAAGCCGAAGGTGGAAACACCACCGACGTCGGTCGAGCTCGAGTTGAGGGCTGAGCTCGAGCAGTGCACGTTTCAGCCGAGCATTTCGAGAAAGTCGAGAGAATTAGCCGCGCGCGCGGAGAGCGGAGGATTTTTCGAACGCTCGAGGACGTGGTCGATGCGTAAAGAACGCGTGCTCGAGGCCGAGCGCGAGTTGAAGATGGAGGAATCGCTCCGGGACTGTACGTTTCAGCCGCACGTTGTGGTCGCTTCGTCCGCGCCGCCGCCGACGACGAAGAGCGCGTCGACGACATCCGGTACGCCGTCTCGCGCGCCGGCGACGACGCTCGCGACGCCCGCGCGCGCGTCCAGACCACCAACGACGCCCGCCTCGGCGACGTCGAAAACACCGGGTTTAGACACCCACGTCGCCCGCCAGGCTGCCGCCAGGCGCATGCGTGAGGAGAAGAACGCCGCGTTCGACCGCTTCTCCAACGGCGACGCGTGGCGCTCGCGAACCGTTCCCGAAGCCTTCACGTTCGCCACCGACGCCCGCGCGCGACGCGCTCGAGACGTGGCTTCGACGCCCACGACGCCCGTGACCGATCGTGGGTCGAAAAAATCACCGACGTGATCCGCGGCGTCGCCCCGATCGCCGCCGCGGCCGCGTCGCCCGCGTTGTAATCACCACTGACCCACAGCCGCCGCCATCGGCACACGTCGCCTCGCGCCCGCGCCGTGCGTCGTCACCGAACGCGCGCGCGATGCCGTGCCCCAAGGGCACGCGCACGAAGGGTCTGTCGAAGCGGTACACCAAAGGCTTGCGCCACGCCGCGGTCACGAAGCGCGCACGAACCGAAACCTTTCTCAAGAGGACGGCGTTCATTGAAGAAAAATTAAAAGAGATGGATGCGCAGAGCGACGACGCCGCCGCGTCGCGAGCGATGCGGTCGTCGGCGATCGATGCGGTGCCGACGATCGAGGGTGTGATGCCTCTGAGGCCGATACCGAATAAGCGGGGGACGACGATCGATGTGGAGACGTACAGGGCGGCGACGCGAGACGCGAGCGCGAGTAAAGGCGTCGCGAGCACGTCCGGCGGGTTAATAGGACGGTTAGCGTTCGTCGAACGCACGGACGTGGGAACGGAGACGGTGGGGACAGAGGAGGGGGGTGGTGAAGACGAGGACGGTGAAGACGACGACGCGAACGAAGAAGACACTAGAGAAGAGGTGCCCACGCCGGCTCTCGAGGCGCCCGTCGAACGCTTGGGGAGCGAAAAGCGACGAAAAGCCAAGCTCAAAAAGAAATTGAGAGCGAAGAAACAGCGTCGATGCTGACGCGCACCAATTTGTATTACTAAGTATCTATACTACCGTCGTCGTCGTCCTCCCCTTTACCGATCGCGTCGCTCTCGAGCGCCAAGATTCGTTCGACGCTCTGTAACACGGCGTCAACCTCGACGTCGCCGGATCCCCCGAGCGAAACGAGCGTCTCGGACGCGTCGACCCACCTCTGATTCTTGAAATAGCTCAGCCCGAGCGCCTTTGTCAGCGGCACGCGCAAGCTCTCGTATGGATTACACACCATCATGTACTCCAAGATGAGAAGCGTCGATTTATCGTCCCCGCGAACGTCGTAAATTGCGCGCAGATTGGTCAACATTCTCGTCAAAAACGCTCGCTTGCGAATCTTTGTCTCTCGCAAGAACGATCTATCGATCTGTACCTTTTGCCCCTCGGCCAATCCCGAGTTTCTAGCCAAGATATCTTCGACCTCTTCGATGAACATGATGTCGCCCTGATTGAATGCGTCGACCAAGATTTCCATCTCTTCCAACTCGTCCACGGCGCAATTCGAGCCGAAGTCAACCGGTCGACACAACAAATGTCCGGGGATGCCGACGTCGACCATTGTGATCCCGCACCGCTTGGCGATCTCCATGTAGGTCAGACATAATGTAATCGGGATCCCCGTTCGCCGCGCCAGGACGCGATCGATGCACGAGTTCTCGACGTCGTAATAATCCTCCACGTTACCCGTGAACCCGAGGTCGTGCGCCCACGCTCTGCTCAGCGTCTTAATCGTTCTCAACGGAAAACGCTCGCCCTCCGGTCCGAGCTCGTCGTCCAGTCGCTTCTTCACCACCGTCGCCATCTCATCGATGTCTCGTCGAACTTGCTCGCAGTCTAGGTCTGGGTTTTGATGCATCGAGACGTAACACGCGCACTTCAAGAGGTCGACGTCTTCCTCGTCCTCCTTCGCCAACTCCGCCTCGAAGAGCGCCAACCCGCGCCGTTTCTTCGCCACGCTCGCGAACGCGGCGTCTATGGACGAAGAAGAAGACGTCTCGCTCGCGTTTCGTGTGTCGTCGCCGTCCCCGAGCGCATCGCCGAGCCACTGCTCGGCATCCGAGCGGCCAAAGAAGGACCTCGGGACCGCGCGCTCTCGCCTCGAAGCGCGTCGTCGACCGCGCGTTTTCGTCTCGAACCCGCCTCGCGCGTGCGTCGCGCACGCGCGCGTCGTCGTCCCCGGCATCGCTGCGACTGCACGACGCGCGACCGCGCGCACGTGTGACGAAAAGGTAACCGAGGGCGTCATCTTTTTCTTTTCCCGCGTCATCCGGCGTCCTCGGCGACCGCGACGCGTCGTCGGGGTTCGCCGCTCGGCACGGAAGCTCCACTCGTTGGATGAATTTCGCTCGGCGCGCTCGGCATGGACGCCAAAACGCTCTCCGCGGTATCCATCGCTTTCCCATCGCGCACTTCGCCAGCTGCGACGCGCGCCGTCGCCTCGCTCCGCACCAACTCGGCGAAGTCCTCCTCCACATCCGCGTCGCTCAAAATCGCCCCCTCGTTCGCGGCCTCGAACCAATGCCGCAACCGCTCGACGTCCCGCATCACACTTTCGACATCCGTCGTCTCTCGCACGATACGCTCCACCGCGTCGTTCCCGAGACGCATCGCCTCCAGCGTCTCCGCGTCCGCGCGCGCCGAATCAAACCGAACCAACGCCTCGTGTAGCCTCAACACGTGCGCGCTTAATCTCTCGCGTAAAGCGCACCGCGCGCGTCTTCGTCGCAAGATATTCATCGCGAGAACCTTTTGAGCGCGTTTGCGCAGCGCCTCGACGCCGTCGGCGTGAATGTCGCGCTCGAGGAGATCGATGGAACCTTCGAGTCTTTGGATTGATTTCTTGATTTTTAGCACGGCGAGGTCGATTGAGGTAATCTCCACGGGGTGCGCGTCAGATGTAGAGGTGCATGCTAAAGAGGCCCCCATCGTGGGTGAGTTTCACGGCACGCGGGAGGGTGTGGAGCGAGTGGTGGGCGTTGGCGTTGACACGATGCTTTTTCAACTGTTTCATCCGTAAAGCGGTGGGATGTGCGTTAATCTATCAATGGCTAGTGACGTTATTCTTACAGCGTGTTTCCATTTATAATGACGGATGTCTCACCCTAACACGCGCACTCCACGCGTCGCCGCATTTCGGCGCGTTTGATCGATCGAACGTCGTCAACGAGCGCTCTGAATTCAGCGAGCGTGTTGCACGATGACAAACCCGTCTTGAGTGCCGTCGTGACTTCGTCGACGATGCTCTTGCGATCGATCGGGGGTAATGATGGAACAACGTTTGTCGTCGTCGTCGTCTTCACGGTATAGTCAACTAAGTCGAGCGGTTCGCTCGCAGCGGTTCGAGGTAGAGCTGTCGCCGCTCGGCGCAACGCCTCGTCGTACTCGGCGTCTTTTTCGACGTATTGTTCGTACAGTTCGGTCACCCCGAGATGGAACCAACTCTCGAGCGTGTCCACGGCGTTGAATCCCAGAGAAACGACCGGTTTATGCACGTTTGAGTGCGTGTTCCGTCGTGGCTTAAGCGCCTTGGCGCACGCACGAAGATCCTTGATGAATCTGTTCGGGTCGCCAATCTTGCGGTCGAGCGCTAACCGAATCAAATTACCCGCCTGTTCAGATCTATCGAAGAAGCGGTCGAATCGACGCGTCTTGAGCAGCTCTTTCACGCACTTTGCAATCGCCCCTCGTACGACGGCGCGAGTTCGTCTGACACGAATTCGAAGCGCTTCGCACGCAGCTTCCGCCGTCTCGGTCGTCTCCGCGTTGTTCGGTCTCATCTCCGCGACGCGTTGTGACATCGACGTTATAACTTGCGACGCCATTGACTTGCGCGCTTGCGCTTCTCTGTGCGCCGACTCGACGTCTTTGCCGATGTGTGCTGCCGCGAGCCCGAAGCTACACGAGATTGACGTCTCGCACAGATTCGGCTCGACGTTCAAAACGGTGCCCGATTTTTCGAAAAAATGTTTGATGCCGCTCGGAAGAGCACTGTGTGGCAATCCAACCGAAGCGACTACGCAAAGCGACCCTGAAGATTCGTTCCCGTCGTCCGCGTAACACTCCGAGACGGTGGTTTGCACGAGATCCCAGAGCGCGCTCGTTGTCACGCCCTCTTCGCCGTTCTCGTCATCGGTCCTGGCCAACGCCCAGAGATCCAAATTAGGCATCACTAACGTCGTCTGCGTGCGCATGGCCTGGCGAAGGGGTTCGTGGAGCGACAGTGCAACGCCGCGCGCGGCGTCGCCGTCGCCGTGAGATATGAGCGAAGCCAGATTTACCAGGTGCGATGACGTCGCGTTCAACCGGTTCAAGACGACGTCCATAACCTCTTGCTGACCGTTATCGCCCTCTCCAGCCAAGAGTATGCGACAACTCTTGACTGTGGATCCCTTTTCCTCGTTATTCGCGTCACCGCATTCGTCATCGCTCGCTGGCGCAGCGCCGCGCTTGATGAGCTCGTCTACCGCGCGTCGCGCCGAGTCGCCCAGTAGAGGTTTCATGTACTCATCGAGTGGTTTGCCTCGAGGCACGAGCGCGGCGCTCGCGCTTCTCGCCGAGCACGCGCTAGAAGTCGTCTTCAGCGCGCATTGCCAATCGGCGAAAGAAACGGAGACACCGTCGCGTCGACTAGCTCGATAACTCTTCAGGAGCGTTCTCGCATGTCCGACCGTCTCGCGTACACGCGCGCGCGTCGTCGCCTTGTACGTGGGATTCCCTCCGACGATGAAATTTACATCCATCTCATCGTACTCGAGCACTCGCACGTCCACGTTCGGTCTGAAGAGCTGCATCCAAACTTCCTCGCCGTCGAAGAGATTGGAGTCGTCATACCGCAGTCGATGACACGCGGCGTTCCTGTCGTACCCGACAATCGTGGCCTCGTGATGCGCATCTTCGATCGGCCAGTACACACGCACGCGCGTCGCAAGCGCTTCAAATTGCTTGAGCGTCAACTGGGCGCCGACGTGTCCGGACGCACTCGCGCGGCTCGCCTCGTCGAGCGCTGTCTGCGCGCTCTCCGGCGGCGGCAGCCGCGCCTCGAGTTCAGCCGCGAGCGAATCACGCGTTGGATCACCGCGCAAGAGCGACGGACAAGATCGTCTTAGTGCGCTCATGAGTGCCGCGTTCGCGATAGCGCGCAGATCTGCCCCGGCGCAACCTTCGGTGAGACCCGCCAAGGCATCGAGAGTCGCTCGATTCGGCCGCGGTGTCCACGCGCGCGTGTGCACGTCCAGTATTTCCGCCCGCGCGCGCACGTCCGGCAAGCCGAAGAACAACTCGCGATCGAATCGTCCCGGTCGCCGAAGCGCAGCGTCCACGGCGTCTGGTCTGTTCGTCGACGCGATGACGACGACGGAGCCACGCCCCGAGAGTCCATCCATCAGGGCGAGAAGCGTCGCGACGACGGAGGAATGAATCTCATCCTGTGCCCCTGAACTCCCCCCACCTCGCCTCGCTGGCGCTAACCCGTCGATCTCGTCAAAGAATATTATGCTCGGCTGTCGCTTTTCCGCCTCCTCAAAGAGTAAACGAAGCTTGCGTTCGGCCTCGCCGCTGTACTTGCCCAAACAATCCGCCCCGAGGCGACTGAAAAAGCTAATCGGTGTCGGTCCTCGCGCGGCGGCGCCGAGCATCGCGCGCACGGCTGCCGTCTTCCCCGTCCCCGGTGGACCGTGTAACAACACCCCGCGCGCGGCGCCCGCGCCCAGACGCTCGAATATCTCTGGATACGTCAACGGCAGCAGCGTCATCTCCTTGAGCGTCTTGACGTGCTCCTCCATCCCCGCGAGCGATTCCCACCCTTGGGAGTACTCCGACGTCCCGAGTCCACCACCAATTATCACCCGCGGGATTTCCGCCTTGTCCTTATCCAATCTCCTGGACTCCCGAAGGCGAAACGCCTCGTCGTCGTCCTCGATGGCGCCCACCTTGTCCTTCTCCGCGTTCATGCGCGCGCCAGCCTCGATGACGGTGCGATATATCGCCCCCTCACGTGTGTTCATGAACCGGTCGTCGTTCAACCGCGCCCGTTTTTTCTTTTTCTTCTTCTGATTCATCCCTCGATTCATCTCCGCCGCGGCGCGAATCCTGTTTAAAATTGGCGTCGCTCCTTTCACCGCCATCGTCGCCACCGCCGCCGGGCCCGCCGGCGCGCCCGTTCCACCGACCCCGTTCGCGCCATCTCCCACCGCCCCTTCGATCCCATTCCCATTCAAATCTCCATTGACGTCCCCGACGACGTCCTCCTCCACGCCAACCTCGGCCCACCGCGCGTCCGGGCGCTCTCGCGCCAATCGTCCGACGTGCCTCGGGCACGCGAGCGCAAACTCCCCCACCGCGAACGCGCACCCATCCTCGTGCGCGCACACCAAGTGATAACTCCTCGGACACGCATCGATCGCGCACCCCACCGCGGCCCCCCTCTCGCCGCACCGATGACATCGTAATCGCCTCGCCCGCGTCACCGCCTCCCGCACGTTTCTCAACCGTTCCGTCGCCGCGTCAAAGTACACCTCCGGGCACCACAACGCGCACGCTTGATGCAGCGCCGTCGGCACCGCGTCTCGGCGTTCCATGAGCGTCGGCGGGAGCCGTTCGTCCGCGTCCAACGCGTCGTAACATCGTCGCAACGACTTCCTCGGCCGTCCGTTCCGCCGCGCCGTCGGGCACAGTCCGCACGCGAACGCCGCCCCCGACGTCGACGCGATCGTCCCGTCGCTTCCCATGCGCGCCCAGCGCACCGACGGCGTCCACGCGCGCGATGTCTCGGCGTCGCGCGCGATATCTCGGCGTCGTCGACGCCCACGGACGCGCGCGCGGCGATGATGATTTCAAAATCCGCACCACCGTCGCGCGCCGCGCGTCGCCGTCGACGCGCCGCCGCGACGTCGACGCGGGCGCGGGAAAAAACCCTTCGTCCGACGCCCCCCCTCTCGCGCGCGCGTCGGCGTCGCGCCGGCGTCTCGCGCGTCGACGCGCCGGGTCGCCGATGCGCGCGGTGCTGTCGCACCCACATAGCCGTACATGTGTCACAGTATACGGTATGGTACCGTATCGTATAATCTGTATGACCATCAAGCGCACACACACCCGTCGACGCATCGCCCGTCGACGCATCGCGCGCCCTCGACGCCACGACGCCGCGACCGACGCGCGCGATGGCGAAGCGACGCTCGATGTTACCCCCGCGCGCGATGGCGTCGCGACCGCAGCGCGAGGACGAGGACGGGACGACGAAATGCGATGACGATGCCGCCATCGAGGCGGCGGCGGCCGAGGGGTCGACGACGCTCGGCGCCCGAGCGCGCGCGCTGCGCCTCGCCCGTGGACGCGCGATCGATGGAACGACGGTCGATGCCGCGTTCGATGCCGACGGGGCGCTGGACGCGACGCCGCGGGCGATGGGCGACGGTGGGGACGCGGACGGGAAAGGGCGGTCCGGGTCGACGACGGCGCGGGCGGATTCGCTGAGCGCGCTGTTGTCGCAAGCGTTGCGCGCGGACGACGCGGCGTTGATCGAACGGTGCTTGTCGGTGAATGATAGAACGACGATCGCGAACACGGTGAGTCGGTTGAGCGCGTCGAACGCGATGAAGTTGTTGTCGGAGTGCGCGGCGAGGGCGCAGGCAAAGCCGGGAAGCGGCGAGCGGTGCGCGCGATGGGCGAGGACAATCTTGTTGCATCACGCTGGATACGCGTCGAGCGCGCCGAAAGCGCGAGCGACGTTGTTGAAGCTGTCGCAGACGATCGAATCGCACGTCTCGATGCAAGGATCGTTGCAGGCGTTGTTGGGGCGGTTGGAGCTCGTCTTGCACGCGAGCGCGTCGACGAAACAAAACGTCGGCGGCGTGGACGTGGAGGAGAACGACGACGGGGTGACGACGGTCTACGACGAGGCCACGGATGCGGTTGACGTGTTGCAAGACGTCATGGGCGGCGCCGGCGAAGAGGGCGAGGACGAGGAGTGGGAGACGGACGAAGACGGCGAATCCGAAGACGAAGACGAAGACGAAGAAGAAGACGACGACGATGACGATAACGATGAAGATGACGATGACGACGATGACGACGACGATATGGTGTAATCTAAACAATCAAACATAGTTCGTAGTTTCCCAACCCGATGCGCGACGCCGTGCGTTGGACACTCCGCGACGCGCGGCGCGGAGTCGCGTCGCATGACCGGCGACGCTGACCCCGTGCGTCGTCGCGCGCGACAAAAGACGAAACCGCCCCTCGACGCATCCCAAGCGTCCGCGCTCGTCCGCGCGCGCGAGAGCGCGTCGCAGGCGTCGAGCGAAGCGTCGGTGAGGATTTCACTCAGAGGCGCGACGCTGCGCGACGGCGACGCTTTGATCGCCGTCCTCGATGCGGCGAAAGAATCGCGCGCGAAGACGCTCAATTTGAGCGGCGCGTTACGTTCGATCCCGGGAGCGGACCTGAGACGCGCGCTCGCGACGTCGGGGGCGCTGGAGGGATTGGAGGAACTGTCGCTCGCGGAGACGCCAGAACTCGCGGAGACGCCACGGAGCGATGACGACGAGATGCGGGACGTTTTCGAAGCCCTGGTGACGGTGAAAGGATTGAATTTAATGCGGTGCGGGATCGGTGGGCGCGTATGGGCGCTGGAGCGAGCGATGGGTACGAAGACGGCGACGTGTCGGAGCGTGAACTTGCGGGACAACGGGCTGGACGCCGACGATGCGCGAGCGCTCATACGCGCATGCGAGGCGAACGAGGCGTTGGAGTCGATTGTTATGACGAATAATCCCGAGGTGAGCGTGGAGATGGCGACGGCGGTGCGAGAGCGGAGTCGGATCAATTGGCAACGCGCGCGTAGGATGGAGGCGGCGCGCGGAATGGAGGTTCGTAAAGACGGTGTCGCGTCGTTTCGGAAGATAGGTCTAACGGACGACGACGTTCGTGCGTGCATCGGCGCTTTGCTCGACGATGGTGTCGTCATTGAGCGACTAGACGTGCGCGATAACGCCCTGAGCGAGGTGGGAATGGAGCTGTTGAGACACGAATTGGAACGCTCGCCGCCGACGACGAGTGTGAACGCGAGCGGTAATCCAGGTTTTGCCACGGATTCGTTCAGGCGGCTTGCCGGTCAGGCAGCTGCAAACTTTATTCACGTCGATCGATGTGATGAAGCGTTGAAGAGTGTCTCGGATCGGCATGTCGGTGACGAAGGCGCGCTCGTCATCGCGAACGCCTTGCGAGAAAGGCGCGAGAGCGTGCGTGCCTTCGGAGCGCATCACAACTCGATTGGGGCGCGCGGATGCGTAGAACTCGCGAACGCTCTGCTCGAAAATCATCGGTCCTTGCGTGAATTTGCCGTTTATGCGAATGACATTGGCGTTGACGGCGCAAAAGCGTTGGCTCGACTCGTCGAGGTACACGGAGCGCTCGAGGTACTCGACTCGGGGGGAAACGGTATCGGAGACGATGGTTGCGTAGCGATCGCAGAAGCGATATCTCGCTCCGTGAACGCGTCTAGGTTGATCGAGCTACACTTGGATCACAATAGCATCTCGAACATCGGCGCTCGAGCGCTATTGAGTGCCTTGCGAGAGCGACAAGCCGCTGGCAACCCGCTTCGCACGCTTTGGATCAACGGGAACCAAATTGACGACACCTTAGCGAGAGAACTCACGGAATGCTGTTCCGGTACATACGTCCACGACGTCGAAGGCGTTATCAATCGCGCCATGAATTCGCGCGGCTCGGCACCGACGGAAGAGATGATACTCGTCGCCGAACGCGAGGCGGCAGCGGCGAGCCGAATGCGAGGCTCGGATTCATCAACGTTAGCAAACAGAATAGCTGCGCGCGTCGGCGCGGAGTATAGATCTCGATGTTCCGCGCACGCCGCGGCGACGAGAGGAACAGCGGTGATTGCTGGAATCGTCGCGCAAAACGTGAACGAAAATGAGCCGAGAGACCTCACGGTGCTTTCGCTTGGCGTCGGTACGAAGTTCGTTCCGGGAGACGTCGCGGCAGCAATCGGAAACAGAGCGGATGCTTCTCTTTGGGACGCGCACGTGCATGACAGTCACGCTGAGGTATTAGCGCGAAGAGGTTTGTTGCGCCTCTTGTATCGCGAGCTGGAGTCGCTCGTTCGTGCGGGTGAAAGTACGTTCCTTGAGCACAACGCCACAGGTACGGTTGCGCTCAAGCGAGACGTCACCATACACCTGTACGTTTCCACGGCGCCGTGCGGAGCCGCAAGCGCGGGGCCGAAGGGTGTGGTTAGTCACGATTGGAACGATCACGATGCACGTGATTTGCAAACGCACGTAACTCCGGAGATCGAACAAGGCTGGTTCGGACCATCGTACAAGGGCAACGACGACGATTCCCTGATCGAAGGACCTCCCGGATGCGTTTTGATATCGCACGCGTCACGCGCTATTGGAGTCGCCGGAAAATCTCTCTCATGCAGTGATAAAATAGCTCGATGGCACGCCGTTGGCGTGCAAGGAGCGTTATTGAGTCATTTCGTCGAGCCAGTGCGTCTCAAATCCGTGGTGATCGGACGAAAGTTTGATTTCTCGCGATGCACTTTCGCGACATGTTGTCGCGGCAGACGAAGAGGAGACGGCCCGCGATCTCATCCTTGGATGATGCACAGCACTATCAAGCTAGAATGTGGGGGGGTCGAGAGCTCGAGTGGTGGGCGTGAGCTCGCCGGTGACGGTGATGAGAGCATTTCCTGGGCGTTTGGCGAGGGTGACGCCTCCGCGCACGACGGACGCACAGGCACATCACTTGGCGGCGCGAGCGCGATTTCAATCTGCTCTCGCATCGTTCTCTGGCATCAGTTTTCGAGTCTGGTCGAAACGATACGTCAGAGGCCAGATTGCGCACTGAAAGATAAGGTGCCGACAGTTGAGCCGTGGTCGTACGATCAAGCGAAGCGAGCGGCAAGTACGTACGCTGCAGCACGCCGAGCGTTGTATTTTGATTGAGTCGGATTCATCTTAGCCAGACATTAGCAGTTTGTAGTTCATGGATTCAACTCAGTGGATTAAACAGACCTATCGTCGTTCTAGCAACTAAAATTATCTCTTCTCTTTCTAGCCCCCCGAAAAAATGGAAACAAAGGAAACTCTCACAGCTCGTCGTCGGATGCGTCCCAAGCACCGTCGGCGATCCCGGTGAGGCTGGACACGCTCGTCATCGTCGCCATGGCCGTACCACCCTCGTCGTCGCTGTCATCCCAAGCATCTGGGATGACCTCGCGTTCGGCAAGCATTGGTTGCATGGGCGTCGTATCAGGTTGCTTAGCCCAGGATACCGGCGCGCCGAGAGCGTTCTGAACGTACACTTGTCCGATGCCCGTTCCACCAATTTCATGAGCCGAGCTCATACCGATGGTGGCCAATCTATTAGCCGCCTCAGAATCGGTAGCGGATAAACCACAGCACAAACCGCTTTCTCGCGCCCACTTCAACCATCCCTTCCACACGATTTCGTCTTGTTGCAACGTTTTCATGTGTCCAACGATGATCAAACCACGCTTTGCTCGCGTGAGCATGACGTTGACACGGCGCGTGTCCGCCAAGAAACCGACGTTTCCGTTCATATTCGCACGCGTACACGAGAAAATGATAACTTCCTTTTCGCGACCCTGGAAACCGTCGACAGTTGCGACTTCAACCGCCTTCATTGACGTTGGATCAGCAGGTGCATCGAAGCGCGTGCGCTCTGGAGCGTTGCCGCGAAGAATCTTCTTAATAGCGCGAGCCTGAGCGCTGTACGGCGTTACGACACCAATATCACCCGGTAATACCTCGTGGCCCCCGGCGAGTTTCTTCACGATGTTCACCACGCGCTGGATTTCAGCTTGGTTCGTTTGCGAAGATCCGTCCGAGCGCTCAGCGCCCTCCTCTACGTTGACAAACGCCAAGGGGACTGCGGGAACGGGCCAGTCAAAACCGACTGGCGCACGACGCTGACTCGGCGGTGTACCCGATAACAGCTCACCCTTGTAGAACGTTTGCGAGGGAAATAACGCGATCGCCGGGTGCATACGATACTGCACCTTCAACATGTACGTGCGAATGCCGGATCGAATGAGACGTTCGAAAAGGCTCTCACCGAGACCCGCGGCTTCGGCCTCACGGCTGATGATGGTCGGCGGGAGCTGGTTCTGATCGCCGATCAGTACCACTTGTTTGCATCCCTTTGTGAGCGGGATAATGGTCGCGGGCTCGGTGGCCTGCGTAGCTTCATCAATTAAGCACGCTTGGAATGAGAAGCGCTCGAGAATGTCGCTGCCAGCGCCCGCGCACGTGGCACAAATCACCTCAGCTTTGCGCAAGGCGTTGTTGATCGCCTGGAACTGATCGCTCTTGCTCCATCGACAGTCCTGATCGATGCCAGCGATACTTTCAATCATGTACGGCATGAGATCTTGACGCACGGCCTCGGGACGACCGATGCGCGCGACTCGAACACCGGCTCTTGCCAACCCGTCGACCAAGTTATCCACGGCAATATTCGAATCAGACGTGCACAAGATCGGTGACGTACCGCATCGAAGCCACATTTGCACTAGCGCGACAGCCGTGTGCGTCTTACCCGTACCGGGCGGACCTTGGATGAGGGTGATGCGGTTGAACAACGCCGCCATGAGAGCGTCAATCTGAGACTGGTTCATGTGCTGCATGGCGGGAATGTCCTTCGCTTGGTCGATCATCTTCTGACGCGTCGCGATGTGCATGTGTTCCGCGAGATTCGCTTCGCACATGTCCGGAATCGCTTTGTGGTTGGCCTTATTGCCATCCCAACCCGCGATGAGGGTATCACGAATATTGACGTCGACGCTCGCCTTTTGGCCCGTGCTTTGCTTCACCTCCATCATGTCTTCCATAGCCTTGAGCTGACGATGGAACGATGTTCGGTTCGCCAGTTTATCGATGCGCCAACCACCGCCGCGAACGGTCGCCGCCGTGTCGGCGTTAACGCCTACGAGCTTGACGGTTACTCTGTTCGCGCTAGTCACGATTTCTGCTTCGAACTCAGTTTCAGCGTGGTAACCACCACTTCTCGAGCGTGTTGCGCCGTCGTCGAACCCTCTCGAGCCCGTTGGAAGCTCACCAAGCGTCAAAGAGCGATCAGTTGCGCCCGTTCTCGAAAGAAGAAGAGTGTCGCCCTTGAGCAACGCTCTCTGCAACTCTGCGCCAAGAGGCGGAATGGTCAATACAAGCTGACCATTCTTCCCTCGCAACGGCTCGATGATGATGTCCATCGCCGCCAAGCCACTCTCTTGTAAGCCAAACGCCGGCGCATTGGCGATGCGATCGAGCGTCTGAAGGGCTTCCTCCAAAAACTCTTGAATGATCAAACGAGCGAAGTGGAAGTGATATTTGGCCACTGACTTTGATTCATAGTTGATCATCGGCTCCATCGCGTTTAAGACCTCCATGGCGTCAATCGGGTTCGCGCGCTGCGGGAAAGCCATCAAGATTTGCGTGAACTGCTTTAGCGTAATCTTGAACTTTTTCTGCTTGGCGTAGGCGACGATGGGAAAGGCGTCCAGCAACGCCCCAGGCGTCTTGATGCAGTAATGAAGCAACGAACGCGTGGCCTCGGTGTCGATGAGACCAGCTTCGGAACGTGAATGGAACAGATCCATCGCAGTGTGAATGTCATTCGCATCCAGCGCCTTTTTGATTTCCTTTGTCGTCTTGGCGCCCGGCGTCGCCGCCACCTTCTCCGCGGACGCGTCTTGACTTCCTATAGTCACGCTCGTCGCTTTTCCGCCGGATGACAGGTTAGCGATCCTCGTTTTACCGTTCCGATTCTCCGAAGCCGGTGACGCCGAGTCGCGTCTGTAATCTGGGTCGTCCCTCGGATTGACGAAGTTTTCCTTTTGCTTGTTTCGCTTTTGTTGACCATCCTTTGCTCTCTGACCCGGCGGCACGTAAACGCCCACCGGCTTCACGGGAGATAGCGGGGGTTTACCTCCGGAGATCTGTAAGTTCTCGACCGCGGGCATGGCCGTGGCGCTCGTCGGCGTACCCGCGGTGAAACTCACCTTGGGCGCGGGTGTCGCCTTGACTGCGTTCCCGCCCTCCATCCCCACCGTCTTCGGCGCCGGGATCGTCTTCATCGCCACGCCCGCACCGTCGCGCGCCATCGCGCGCGACCCATCGACGCCGCCGTGTCCTCCATCGACTCCATCTTTCGCTTCCCTCGTCCCTCCGTTCTTCGCCTTTTGCGCGCTCTTCCCGCCGGACTCCTTCGGCGTCGGCACCACTTTCGGCGCCGGAATACCCCCGGCGCTCACCGCGCTTCCATGTACGTTCCCATTCACCGCGTTCGCGTTCCCACCGCTCCCGCCGAGCGGTCTCGGCGCCGGGATCTTCGGCTTTGGCAGCGCTTTGCCCGTCGCCGTCGTCGCAGCGGTCGTCCCGTTCGCGCCCTCGTCCATGCACTCGTCCTGCGTCCGGCGCGCCCATCGATCGACGTCAGTCCAGCGTTCGCGCGTCGTCGTCGTTCCACGCGCGCGCCGTCCACGGACGACGCGCGCGCGCGCGGTCGAGAGATGATCCGGCGGCGCGCGCGAGATCTCCGGCGGCGCGCGCCCGCGCGC